TATCTCCGGAGAGATTAGATTGTATTGTATTTTAGTGTCTTTATTTGCTCGGTCAGCTCATTGCCAATCTGTATGCAATTGCACTGTGTGTTGGCAGATTGCGTGCAGATTGTAAAGGTAACAGATCTGCCAGATGGAGATCTGTGTGTGTGGGGTGTCCCTGCAGACCATTCTGTGCATAAACTGTTGGGTGGTGGCAGGCTACTGTTTGTGGTGTGTCTGGTGTGGGGGAGGGGTGGGGTGTGTGGGCAGTGAAGAATGATTAACTCCGGGTTCTAGCTTGGAGGATAGCTGGAGGAATCCTAGAAGGGTGTGCGATTGCTAGACTGCTCCCCAATCCTTAGTGTGCACCAGATTGTATGTAAGATTCATATCTGCCTGTGTGTGGTCAGCCAGCTGGATTGGAGTCTCCCTCTAGTGGTGACCAGGGGTAGTGCGGGCTGTGAAAGTGTATGACAGCCAGCCTTACATGCTCAGAGCAAGTCCCCCTCATTCCCTCTTTACCCCAAGTCATGGCTGGACGTGCTCGCCTTGGTTATCTAGTTGCTGTGGGCATGCGTGTGCGTGGCTGTGGATCCGTGACAGTAGTAAACAATACATTTGACCTGAAGGCTCCTTATACAGGGAGCAGAGTCCATTCTGACCAGCAGATTGGGGACCAAATTCCTTGCTGATCAGAGCCAACCATGACAGACGCCATATCCGTGCTTTGTTTGTGCCCAGCAGACGTGTCATCTGTGGGCGGCCAGATGGAAACACACTCTGCAGCCAATGAAATGAAAGGGGCGCGGTCCTTTTCCTGCTTTGTTTGTCTTACCAGACTTGGATGGTCCCGGAGGTAGGTTGGTGTGAACTGACTCTGCTGTCCATTTCTATCAGGATACACAACCTGTCCTGAGGGCTCCAGGGACCTTCTGATCGGGTCTGTCTGATGGGCTGACTGTTGGACCCTCTCAGAATGCCTGTGTGAAAAGGCTCTACTTGTTGTTCTCTGTAGCTGCAGGTCGGGTTTCTTTTATCTGGTTTAAGAAGCAAAATCAGAAATGTCTGATCCACCAGGCAGCTTCATGTTCTTCTTAGTATGTCGGCAGGTGCAGTCTACTTTCTCCACTGCAGGTGGCGCTCTTGTGCAGCAGCATTGTAGCTGGAGAGGAAGTCAAGAGGAGCACGGTTCATCTATGGTTTCCAGAGTCACTGGGGAGATAGCCGATTGGATGCTGTCACTACATGTGATTCCAGCAGCCATCTTGGGTCAGGCAGAGTCTGTTTCAGGCCCTGGCTCCCAGGATTGGCATGCTTTCTGTGAGAGAACAGAGTGAGGACAGGAACCCCGCCTGGTAATGACAGTACTGGAGGCAAGGAAAGGCTCCAGATGAGAAAGGAAGTGCAGGACCGTAACGTCTCTGCACATCTCCCCACCTGGGTACAAAAGGCTGCATTCTGCCCTGCACCCCACCGCACCCCACCGCACCGCACTGCACCACACTGCACCCCACCGCACCCCACCGCACCGCACTGCACCCCACTGCACCCCACCGCACCACACCGCACCGCTCCGCACCACACCCGCACCCCACTGCACCACAGAAGGGGAAGCATAGGACCGTAACTTCTCTGCACATATCCCCACCTGGGTACAAAACGCTGCATTCTGCCATCGCACCACACCGCACCCCACACCGCACCACCACACCGCACCACACCGCACCCCACCGCACTGCACCACACCACACCACACCGCACCCCACTGCACTGCACCCCACACCACACCGCACCCCACACCGCACCCCACTGCACCACACTGCACCGCACCCCACCGCACCACACCGCACCACACCGCCACCGCTCAAGAGGCTGCACCCTGCCCCTGCACCGCACCCCACCGCACCACAGAAGGGGAAGTGTAGGATCGTAACTTCTCTGCACATCTCCCCACCTGGGTACAAGAGGCTGCATTCTGCCCTGCACCACACCGCACCACACCGCACCACCCGCACCCCACTGCACCACAGAAGGGGAAGTGTAGGATCGTAACTTCTCTGCACATCTCCCCACCTGGGTACCAGAGGCTGCGTTCTGCCCCTCCTAACAGGTCCTGTCACAGCTCAGCTGAACCTCTGTACCCACTGCTGGACCTGTGAGTGATTCTGTCTGGGTTGTTCTTTCATTGTACTTGGACTATGTGTGTTATGGCCACCGCACTGCACTGCACCGCACCACACCTGCACCGCACCACACTGCGCACCCCACTGCATAATGTATATAATCTCCATGTATAATACATAAGGGGAATGATCTCCATGTATAATACATAATGTACAATACTAATTATACATGCACATCATATCCCCACCTGGGTATTATACATGGGCTGCGTATTATACATGGAGATCATATCCCCCCTTATGTATTATACAGGTGATCATATCCCCCCTTATGTATTATACAGGAGATCTCCCCCCTTATGTATTATACATGGAACATATCCCCCCTTATGATCTCCATGTATAATACATAAGGGGGGGATATGATCTCCATGTATAATACATAAGGGGGATATGATCTCCATGTATAATACATAAGGGGGGATATGATCTCCATGTATAATACATAAGGGGGATATGATCTCCACATAGGGGGGGATATGATCTCCATGTATAATACATAAGGGGGGATATGATCTCCATGTATAATACATAAGGGGGGGATATGATCTCCATGTATAATACATAAGGGGGATATGATCTCCATGTATAATACATAAGGGGGGGATATGATCTCCATGTATAATACATAAGGGGGATATGATCTCCATGTATAATACATAAGGGGGATATGATCTCCATGTATAATACATAAGGGGGGATATGATCTCCATGTATAATACATAAGGGGGGGATATGATCTCCATGTATAATATATAAGGGGGGGATATGATCTCCATGTATAATACATAAGGGGGGATATGATCTCCATGTATAATACATAAGGGGGGGATATGATCTCCATGTATAATACATAAGGGGGGGATATGATCTCCATGTATAATACATAAGGGGGGGATATGATCTCCATGTATAATACATAAGGGGGGGATATGATCTCCATGTATAATACATAAGGGGGGGATATGATCTCCATGTATAATACATAAGGGGGGATATGATCTCCATGTATAATACATAAGGGGGGATATGATCTCCATGTATAATACACAAGGGGGGGGATATGATCTCCATGTATAATACATAAGGGGGGGATATGATCTCCATGTATAATACATAATACATAATATGTGCCGGGGTAGACACCAGGACCAGCACTGCCGGTGACTTTCCCAGCGTCCATCCAAGACATGTAAACTACTCATACCGGGCTGTAACACCAGGGGGGGATATGATCTCCAAACTTACTCAGTATGTGCCGGGCTGTAGACACCAGGACCAGCACTGCCGGTGACTTTCCCAGCGTCCATCCTCCTGAAGACATTCGTAAACTACTCAGTACATAAGGGGCGGGATATGATTTCCATGTCCATAAAGACATACATAAGGGGGGTAGATACTGATCTCCAAGACATGTATTAATACCGGGCTGTAACACCAGGGGCCGGATTTCCCATCCATCCTCCTGATTCGTCATAATACCGGGCTAAGGGGGGGATATGATCTCCATTCGTATAATACATAGGGGGGGATATGATCTCCATGTATAATTACATAAGGGGGGGATATGATCTCCATGTAAACTACTCAGTATGTGCATGTAACACCAGGGGGGTGATATGATCTCCATGGTCAAACTACTCAGTAATACCAGCACTGCCGGTGATAACATTCGGTCAAACTTACTCAGTATGTGCCGGGCTGTATATGATCTCCATTTCCCATAATACCTCCTGAAGACATTCGGTCAAACTAATATGTGCCGGGCTGTAGACACCAGGACCAGCACTGCCGGTGACTTTCCCAGCGTCCATCCTCCTGGAGCAGAGTGTATTCCAGAGACCAGAAGTTGAGTCCCCCAATGAGCAAAGGTGTATACAAGTCCAAGGTCACATTACAAACTGGGAAGCCCCTGAGATGCCTCCAACCCCTTGTCCTGCTGTGTGAGATGCGTTATATTGATATTGATCATAAAATAATATAATATTCAGATTAATAATCTCTTACCTGAGCCCCCAGTAAATTGTAGCTCATCTGGTGTTAAACGACATTCATCTCCATTTGACCTTTCTAAAGAGAAAACCATAATTCAGTGAGAACGTTGTCTGTGAGGTTCTTCGGAGACAACACACGGACAGGAACGAAGCAGGAACATTCTCCTAGTGTTTTGAGGCGAACACTGATCTTATATTGTATATATTGTGCAGTATGTGGTGTTTGGGTGTCAGTCTTGTCGCAGTGAGCAGCACAGTGACTTGGCGGTTAGCAGAGCTACCTTGCAGCACTGAGGTTATTGGTTCAAATCGCAACCAGGACACTACATGAATGGTGTTTTCATGTTCTCCTTCTGCTTGCATGGGTTTCCTCTGGGTCCTCTAGTTTCCTCCAACACTCCAAAGACATGCTGGTGGGTTACTGACACCTGTCACTAGTAGGAGCCAGCGAGAGAGGGGGTTGTAGATTGTAAGCAATGTAAGGGTGTGGGCTGATGTGTCAATGCTTTATAAATACTTGTAATAAGTAAATATTTTCAGCACCAAAAAAAGTGTATGAAACCTAAAAACATATAATAAGTGTAACTAATCCACCTTTAACATCAGAATATTAACGTGAAATCTGTAATATTCAATTTATGTTAAGCACCTCCCACCCGCCATATAGTAATGTGAGGCGGTTCTCTCCTTCTGATCGGCAGTCTTTTGACGGCCTTCCATTCTCACCGCGCATCGTGGCTCAGGGAGCGTGCAGCACGGCGATCGGCGGTGCTCTGTGTCCCTCGGACACAGCGAATCACCGATCCACGGAAACAGCCGAAGACGTCAGCTCGGTCATGTGATCAGCTGTGTCCAATTACAACTGATCACATGTAAACAGGGAAATGCCGGTTATCGGCATTCCTCTCCTCACGAGCTGTCACGCTGACAGAGGAGAGGAGCAGAGAGCCGGTAATCAGCATTCCTCGGAGGGGATATCTACACTGATCATCAAAGCACTGATGATCAGTGTGCCCTGATGATCAGTGCAGCCCCAGCAGTGCCACCTGTCAGTGCCACATCAATGCCACATATCAGTGCCCATCTGAGCTGCCTTTCAGTGTCACCTATCAATGCCAATCAGTGCCACCTATCAGTGCCAGTCAGTGCTGCCTATCAGTGCGCATCAGTGCCGCCTATCAGTGCCTGTCAGTGCTGCCAACCAGTGCCAGTCAGTGCCGCCTTCCAGTGCCAGTCAGTGCCGCCTTCCAGTGCCAGTCAGTGCCGCCTATCAGTGCCAGTCAGTGCCGCCTATTAGTGCCAGTCAGTGCCGCCTATCAGTGCTGCATATCAGGGCCATGTATCAGTGCTGCCTTTCAGTGCCCATCAGTGATGCCTGTCAATGCCCATCAGTGCCACCTACCAGTTCCTCCTCATCAGTGCCCATCAGTGATGCCTGTCAATGCTCATCAGTGCCACCTACCAGTTCCTCCTCATCAGTGCCCATCAGTGATGCCTGTCAATGCTCATCAGTGCCACCTATCAGTGCCTCCTCATCAGTGCCCATCAGTGCAGCCTATCAGTGTCCATCAGTGCAGCCTCATTAGCGCACATCAGTGACGGAGAAAAAATCACTTGTTTACAAAATTTTATAACAGAAACTAAGAAAAAACATTTTTTTTTCAAAATTTTTAGTGGTTTTTGTTTTTGTTTAGGAAAAAGTAAAAATCCCCGAGGTGATTAAATACCACCAAAATAAAGTTCTGCCTGTCTCAAAAATGATAAATATGTCATATGGGTACAGTGTTGCATGACCGCGCAATTGTCACTCAAAGTGTGACAGCGCTGAAAGCTGGAAATTGGCCTGGGGGGGAAGGGGGTAGAAGTGTCCGGTAGGCAGGAAGGGGGTAGAAGTGTCCGGTGGGCAGGAAGGGGGTAGAAGTGCCCGGTAGGCAGGAAGGGGGTAGAAGTGTCCGGTAGGCAGGAAGGGGGTAGAAGTGTCCGGTGGGCAGGAAGGGGGTAGAAGTGTCCGGTAGGCAGGAAGGGGGTAGAAGTGTCCTGTAGGCAGGAAGGGGGTAGAAGTACCCGGTAGGCAGGAAGGGGGTAGACGTGCCCGGTAGGCAGGAAGGGGGTAGAAGTGTCCGGTAGGCAGGAAGGGGGTGAAAGTTCCCGGTAGGCAGGAAGGGGGTAGAAGTGCCCGGTAGGCAGGAAGGGGGTAGAAGTGTCCGGTAGGCGGGAAGGGGGTGAAAGTTCCCGGTGGGCAGGAAGTAGGTAGAAGTGCCCAGTAGGTAGGAAGGGGGTAGAAGTGCCCTGTAGGCAGGAAGGGGGTAGAAGTGCCCTGTAGGCAGGAAGGGGGTAGAAGTGTCCGGTAGGCAGGAAGGGGGTAGAAGTGCCCGGTAGGCAGAAAGGGGGGGGTAGAAGTGTCCTGTAGGCAGGAGGGGGTAGAAGTGTCCGGTAGGCAGGAAGGGGGTAGAAGTGTCCGGTAGGCAGGAAGGGGGTAGAAGTGCCCGGTAGGCAGGAAGGGGGTAGAAGTGCCCGGTAGGCAGGAAGGGGGTAGAAGTGCCCTGTAGGCAGGAAGGGGGTAGAAGTGCCCTGTAGGCAGGAAGGGGGTAGAAGTGCCTAGGGGGAATGAAGGGGGTAGAAGTGCCCGGTAGGCGGGAAAGGGGTAGAAGTGCCCTGTAGGTGGGAAGGGGGTAGAAGTGCCCGGTGGGCAGGAAGGGGGTAGAAGTGCCCGGTGGGCAGGAAGGGGGTAGAAGTGCCCGGTAGGCAGGAAGGGGGTAGAAGTGCCTGGTAGGCAGGAAGGGGGTAGAAGTGTCCGGTGGGCAGGAAGGGGGTAGAAGTGCCCGGTGGGCAGGAAGGGGGTAGAAGTGTCCTGTAGGCAGGAAGGGGGTAGAAGTGTCCTGTAGGCAGGAAGGGGGTAGAAGTGCCCTGTAGGCAGGAAGGGGGTAGAAGTGCCCGGTAGGCAGGAAGGGGGTAGAAGTGTCCGGTAGGCAGGAAGGGGGTAGAAGTGCCCGGTAGGCTTGTGGCTAAATTATACATACTTTGGTACAAGCACTGTATATACATATGTGTACAAAGAAACACATATCCCTTCCAAATAAACTCCATTCACGGGTACTGGGTGCCACATTGCTGTCATATCTACATCCATCAACCTCCAGTACAGCTCTGTGATCTCTCCTTCATCATTCTCCAGTACAGCTCTGTGATCTCTCCCTCCATCATCCTCCAGAACAGAACTGTGATCTCTCCTCCAACATCTTCCAGTACAGCTCTGTGATCTCTCCGCCATCATCCTCCATTACAGCCCTGTGATCTCTCCTCCATCATCCTCCAGTACAGCTCTGTGATCTCTCCTCCATCATTCTCCAGTACAGCTCTGTGATCTCTCCTCCATCATCCTCCAGTACAGCTCTGTGATCTCTCCTCCATCATCCTCCAGTACAGCTCTGTGATCTCTCCTCCATCATCCTCCAGTACAGCTCTGTGATCTCTTCCATCACCCTCAAGTACAGCTCTGTGATCTCTCTTCCATCATCCTCCAGTACACCTCTGTGATCTCTCTTCCATTATCCTCCAGTACAGCTCTGTGATCTCTTCCATCATCTTCCATTACAGCTCTGTGATCTCTCTTCCATCATCCTCCAGTACAGCTCTGTGATCTCTCTTCCATCATCCTCCAGTACAGCTCTGTGATCTCTTCCATCATCTTCCAGTACAGCTCTGCGATCTCTTCCATCACCCTCCAGTACAGCTCTGTGATCTCTCCTCCATCATCCTCCAGTACCGCTCTGTGATCTTTCTTCCATCATCCTCCAGTACCGCTCTGTGATCTCTCCTCCATCACCCTCCAGTACAGCTCTGTGATCTCTCTTCCATCATCCTCCAGTACAGCTCTGTGATCTCTCTTCCATCATCCTCCAGTACAGCTCTGTGATCTCTTCCATCATCCTCCAGTACAGCTCTGTGATCTCTCTTCCTTCATCCTCCAGTACAGCTCTTGATCTCTTCCATCATCCTCCAGTACAGCTCTGTGATCTCTTCCATCATCCTCCAGTACAGCTTTGTGATCTCTCCTCCATCATCCTCCAGTACAGCTCTGTGATCTCTCTCTCCATCATCCTCCAGTACAGCTGTGTGATCTCTCTTCCATCATCCTCCAGTACAGCTCTGTGATCTCTCCTCCATCACCCTCCAGTACAGCTCTGTGATCTCTCTTCCATCATCCTCCAGTACAGCTCTGTGATCTCTTCCATCATCCTCCAGTACAGCTTTGTGATCTCTCCTCCATCATCCTCCAGTACAGCTCTGTGATCTCTCTTCCATCATCCTCCAGTACAGCTCTGTGATCTCTCCTCCATCACCCTCCAGTACAGCTCTGTGATCTCTCTTCCATCATCCTCCAGTACAGCTCTGTGATCTCTCCTCCATCACCCTCCAGTACAGCTCTGTGATCTCTTCCATCATCCTCCAGTACAGCTTTGTGATCTCCCTCCATCATCCTCCAGTACAGCTCTGTGATCTCTTCCATCACCCTCGAGTACAGCTCTGTGATCTCTTCCCATCATCCTCCAGTACACCTCTGTGATCTCTCTTCCATCATCCTCCAGTACAGCTCTGTGATCTCTCTTCCATTATCCTCCAGTACAGCTCTGTGATCTCTTCCATCATCTTCCATTACAGCTCTGTGATCTCTCTTCCATCATCCTCCAGTACAGCTCTGTGATCTCTCCTCCATCATCCTCCAGAACAGAACTGTGATCTCTCCTCCAACATCTTCCAGTACAGCTCTGTGATCTCTCCGCCATCATCCTCCATTACAGCCCTGTGATCTCTCCTCCATCATCCTCCATTACAGCCTGTGATCTCTCCTCCATCATCCTCCAGTACAGCTCTGTGATCTCTCCTCCATCATTCTCCAGTACAGCTCTGTGATCTCTCCTCCATCATCCTCCAGTACAGCTCTGTGATCTCTCCTCCATCATCCTCCAGTACAGCTCTGTGATCTCTCTTCCATCATCTTCCAGTACAGCTCTGGGATCTCTTCCATCACCCTCCAGTACAGCTCTGTGATCTCTCCTCCATCATCCTCCAGTACAGCTCTGTGATCTTTCTTCCATCATCCTCCAGTACCGCTCTGTGATCTCTCCTCCATCACCCTCCAGTACAGCTCTGTGATCTCTCTTCCATCATCCTCCAGTACAGCTCTGTGATCTCTCTTCCATCATCCTCCAGTACAGCTCTGTGATCTCTTCCATCATCCTCCAGTACAGCTCTGTGATCTCTCCTCCATCATCCTCCAGTACAGCTCTGTGATCTCTCCTCCATCATCCTCCAGTACAGCTCTGTGATCTCTCTTCCATCATCCTCCAGTACAGCTCTGTGATCTCTCCTCCATCATCCTCCAGTACAGCTCTGTGATCTCTCTTCCATCATCCTCCAGTACAGCTCTGTGATCTCTCCTCCATCACCCTCCAGTACAGCTCTGTGATCTCTCTTCCATCATCCTCCAGTACAGCTCTGTGATCTTTCTTCCATCATCCTCCAGTACCGCTCTGTGATCTCTCCTCCATCACCCTCCAGTACAGCTCTGTGATCTCTCCTCCATCATCCTCCAGTACAGCTCTGTGATCTCTCTTCCATCATCCTCCAGTACAGCTCTGTGATCTCTCCTCCATCACCCTCCAGTACAGCTCTGTGATCTCTCTTCCATCATCCTCCAGTACAGCTCTGTGATCTTTCTTCCATCATCCTCCAGTACCGCTCTGTGATCTCTCCTCCATCACCCTCCAGTACAGCTCTGTGATCTCTCTTCCATCATCCTCCAGTACAGCTCTGTGATCTCTCTTCCATCATCCTCCAGTACAGCTCTGTGATCTCTCCTCCATCACCCTCCAGTACAGCTCTGTGATCTCTCTTCCATCATCCTCCAGTACAGCTCTGTGATCTCTTCCATCATCCTCCAGTACAGCTTTGTGATCTCTCCTCCATCATCCTCCAGTACAGCTCTGTGATCTCTCTTCCATCATCCTCCAGTACAGCTCTGTGATCTCTTCCATCATCTTCCAGTACAGCTCTGGGATCTCTTCCATCACCCTCCAGTACAGCTCTGTGATCTCTCCTCCATCATCCTCCAGTACAGCTCTGTGATCTTTCTTCCATCATCCTCCAGTACCGCTC